TGTCCTAACCCTCTCCTACCCCCCTCATTTGAAACTCCCTCACTCTCTCACATCTCTCTCTCTCAGCCGCCCCCAAACCCTAGCGGCCTCTTCACCCTCACTCTTCACCCCATCGGAAATCGCATCACCACCCACCGCCACTCAAACCGCCGGCCCGAAATCGCCTTTGCCGGCTGGTCTTAACCAAAAAACCTTAAACATACATCAATCAACTCCTCTTCTTCTCCTCTACCTCACCCCACCAATCAAATCCACAAGAATTTTTCCAAAATCAGTGGATCTAAGATCAAGAAACCCCAAACCCTAGCCCCGCCGTACACCGCCGCCGGAAATCGCCTATGGTGGCGGCCGAACCCTAAAACCACCCAAACTTATCCCATACACTCTCCTACATCTCCTAAAGCTCACCCTACCAACCAAATCTCCAAAAAACCTACCAATATCCCTAAATCTTAAATTTCAAAATCCAGAAACCCTAGATACGCCGCCGGAAAGCGCCTATAGCGGCGGCAGAACCCTTAACCTACCTAAATCATACCCTACAACCACCACATCCCCTAGAACCCCAATCTACCTATAAATCCCAAAAATACCCTACTAAAAACTCCAGATCTTAGATCTGAGATTTTCAAAACCTTAAAATCATTCTAGTCCGTATAATATCCTCGTGCCAATATCTCCCATCAGGGATCTCAAATACCAGATGGGGGTATTGGCATGAGGGTTTTTAGCGGCTAGATCTCCCGTTTCTAAAACTTAACCTAGTTTGTATAATAATCCTCGTGACAAGATCTCTCACTCGGGATCTCAGATTCCGGGAGAGTGTCTTGGCGCGAGGGTTTTTAACAACTAGATCTTTTATCCCAAAAGGGGTTCTTTAGCTTTGATTTCTTTTCCTGTTTTTTTTTTTGTTTTTCCTTTATTATTATTATTATTATTATTATTGTTATTATTATTGTTATTATTATGTGTTTTATTGTTATTATTATTTGTGTTTATTTCCAGTATTGCTGTTTTATTTTTGTTTACTGTTATTTTATTATTGTTGGTTATTTACTGTTTTTATTTTGTTCATTTTTAAGAACTGGGCCTCACTGAAGTGGCCCTAACTTTGTTAAAAGCTTAAGAGCCCAAGCTCTTCAGGCTAAGAGTCACACGACTCAGGCCCAAAACCAATCAGGTTCTGAGGTAATTCCAAGGCCCTTAAGGGTCAATTTTGGAAGCCTTTATTCTGAAATTTTTCAGAAATTGCTAGAAACTTCTAGAATTGGGACAACTGTCCCAATACTGTGTAAGAAAATAGGGATAAGATCCGAAAATATCCAGAAATTGGACACTTGTCCATTTTCTGAGATAAGAAAGGTACTAGAAATTTGACAGCTGTCCATTTCTGTTAAGAAAGATGCCTTTTTCCTGATTTTTAGGGAGTTCTGGCAGATTCTTTTGTACCCTAATTCTTATCCCTTTTCACTCCCTCACTCTATAAATACACTCATCCTTTTCATTAGACACAGAGATTGAAACAATTTTGTACACACTTACACACAGATTTATATACACACACTGAAAAACACACAGAAAATTCCCTAAAATACACTGATTTCTGCATTGATTTTGGAGTCTCTTTTCTTCATTTTTAGCGAAGAATTCCTATTGGTTTCATACTTTTTGCTGGGATTTCTGGGTTTAAATCTGAAGCTGTTTTGGGTTTCCTGTTTGGGTATTCTTGTTGCTGCTTTTTACCCAAGATTTTTTTCAGAGACAAATTTTCTGTATCTGTTTGTTTTCTTGCTACTATCAAGGTACTTTCTTAACAATGTAAAAGTTTAATTTTAGTTATTGTTATGAACGTGTTGTTCATCAAATTTATGTTTGGTTTCAATATGGTCTTATACATAAGTTAAACTGCTGCACAAATCATGATTAGTTAAAGTTTGTTTAGTTGAAAGTTATGTATAAATTCATGTAGAGTTAGTTATTTACGCTGTTTAGATTATTTGAAGTTATATTAGCTCTGTGTTAAAGTTTTCTTGAAACTGCAAAACCTGTTTGAAGCTTTCATATGTTCATAAGATTTACACGTTACTATGTAATATCAGAAACAAAAAATAGTATATTTTTATAAAACTGGTTAAAGTAGAAACAGACAGATTTATTATCACTGTTCAGATGTAACTATTTAGCTCATATCTATATTTTCTTGTACAATGTTTTAGTTTAATGTGTTTGTAGCTTTACCATATTCTTTTAGACAATCAAATATAGCAATTCCAATTCTATTAGTTTCAGATCATGAAAAACTGGTTTTCACAAACAAACTGGGCAGTAGGCCCAAAATACATTTGCAAGCGCAAAACTAATTGGGTTCCTGGAATTGTGTTCTAATTCTCTGCTAAATAAAATCAGTTGTTGATTTGATTAAAGGCCATTTATACTTTAAGGTTTCAAATACACAATGATTTTACACTTATCATTGTAACAGGGGATAATATGAGAAATAAACTTGAAAAATCAGTAGAAAATCCGATATTATTTGATTTACTTTACTCGTTTCAAATCCCCCATAGATTTCTGTTCTTAAAAGATAAATAAATTATAGGTAAAATTTTATAAATGCTATTACAAATGTTGGTTTTAAACTCGTTCAAACAAATACACATTGGGCCAGAGTCATTCGGACTCATCATTATCACGCCTAAATCTTTTTGAACTAATTTTTTTAGTTGATTAAATGTTTGATGGTGTTGTATTAGGCCAGAATCAATTAGACTCAATCAGGACCAAATTCTTTTCAGATTGAATTCATTAGCTAGACCCAGTAACTGATAATATATGTCTTGGGCTAGAGTTCATTTGGACTCAGTCTTTGTCCAGCCCAATACTTTTAAATCTGGGCCTCTTTGGCAGTTAATATATAAGCTGCCCCATTTAATTCAAATAGATGCCTCACATAGTATCGGACCTTTACACCTAGTTACATGACATAGGATACTTAGATTAGAGACATAATCATAACTTTAGGTATACTCTAGAATGCACTAACTATTACAATTATGTACACGCATGCGTGACATAGTTGTGATGCACAAGATAAACCAAGGTTTACGTTCGCGTGACCATGTTCAAATATTTTAGTAAATAAAACGGCTAAATAAAATATTCGTAGAAATGCTTTAGGCGCGGTTTTTTAAATTACTATCGTGACTGCGACTTTTTCAAATAAATTCAAAGTACGTATTCGCGCGACTTTGACCAAACCTTTTTCTTAAATAAACTAAGTGTTGGGAATTGTGTATATGTACGCGTGATATGATTTTCAACTCACTAAAGCTAAACGAGTATACATACGCGTAACTCATCTTAAATACGGTTATCAAGTGATAAGTAGTGGTAAAAGGCAAAATAAACATAGGTCCTAAAATGAGTAATTAGATAAAATAAGCCAAGTATAAATTGCTAAAGCGACCGTGCTAAAACCACGGAACCCGGGAATGCCTACTACCTTCTCCGGTTAACAGAATACCTTACCTAGTTATTCTGGTTTCGCAGACTTTAAATGAAGTCAAAATTTTCCCCGATTTAGGATTTAAAATAAATCGATGACTTAGGACACCATAAATTATTCCAAGTGGCGACTCTGAATAAAAACAAATAATCCCATTTTGATTATGTCACTTAAATTCGAAAAACTCCCTATCCCCCTACGGGTAAAAAGGAGGTGTGACAGCTCTGGCGACTCCGTTGGGGATAAGAACCCAGAATATCTGGTTCAGGGCTCAATTATTCGAGCTTGTTAATGTGATTTTTACTTGGTTTTATTAATTGTTGCTATTACTGTATTTTGTGGGCCTAATATGCTAATTACAACTTATTTACTGCTTTGATATTGTTTGAACTGTATTAAACTATCTTCTTACGCCTCCTTTCCGAGTCTTCTAAAAAAATGGTGCACACGTTCGCGTGGCCTGCTTTTTTGTTAGAGGTCGTCCAAATAGAACGAGGATGAATCAGCCACTAGGCTGGGTAGACTTTCGTGCTCTTGTTACGTTGCTCCCACCTTGGCTCAAATTGTCCGTTTGGGCAAGCCAGGTCTAGAACACATCCCTAGGTTTAAACCTAGAATAACAAAACCTCATGCCGGATCCTAGTAGGAGCGCTTGTTTGTATCACGTGTATTTGACTTTAGGGACTCAACACAGGGGTTGGGTCTGTCTAGGACAGGTGTAACCAAAATAAAAGACCATCTTGATGCATCTTACGTGCTATTTGTACATTTATTTGCTTTGGCTTGTATGTTGACTGGCTAAGGAAAGAGAAACAACAGAAAAAAAACCAAGAGTGAGGTAGGATAGAGAATTCACCCGGTTCTGAAAACCTCGGTATTTGAAAAAATGCCTTGAAACTGTGCCAAAATTTTTGAAAAAGAAAAGAGAAAAAGAAAATGTATTTCAAAATGAAAGTGAGCCAATCTCATGTTTTTCCAATTATGTCAAAACTGGCCAAACTACGCGGGTCTGATTCTCACCAGATGTGAGATACGTAGGCAAACCTCATCGGTGCCGACCCCAATTTTTCAAATCGAATAAATTAAGTATGTCCATTGGTCAAAAATAAAACCGACCCAACTTCGGTTAAGTCTTGTGCCGTTTTTGCTGGAATAGCCTTAGAATACCTTACATTGTCGAAGGGCTATTTTCGCTAAGAATAGACATGTCTATCAATGGATCATCACTTTTCCCAGAAAAGTGCCTTACTTCGGCCTCAAAACTTTATTCAAAAGTAAGAAGGGGCCACTATTGCAAAAATGACCATTCTGGTCAATGTTGCACGAATAACCACCTTTAGAAGATTTCACTTTGAAAATTAAAAAAAACTGGTTCTTGCAAAAAGAGTCTGCTCATCTAGAGTCAACCTTAACCCTACCCGTTCACAGGTATAGAATGAATACCGTCCAGAATCCACCATTAAATGCCGTAGAATAAGCTCCGCTACAGCTTCAAATGTGGTGGTATGATTTGGATAAAGAAGGGCAAGACTGGGTAGCTGAACATCTGGGTGCTCTCACGGATATCATGAAAGTCAAGCCCCAGAATGATCTAATCAAGGCTTTAGTGACTTTTTGGGATCCCGTCTGCAATGTCTTTCTCTTCTCAGACTTCGAGCTCACTCCCACCCAAGAAGAAATAACTGGGTATACAGGTTTCGGCAGGGACTTAAGAAATCAACAACTTATATTCCCGAGGCCTATGTCGGTGCGCTGTTTCTTTGATATTATGAACATTAGTAAGCAAATAAGAAAGAACCGTGTAAGCGAGGGTTGCTGTTCATTTTACTTCCTGTTCTCCAGGTATGGGCGTCTAGAGGGGTTTGAAACGTATGAAAAAGAGTTGAACAACAAGCAAAGCAAAGATACTTGGAAAAGTCATCGTGGCTTTGCCTTCATAGTAGCATTTCTGGGCGTCATGGTCTTCCCAAATGAAAATGGAACAGTTGATATCCATATGGCTATCATTGCGCAAGTCCTAACTACCAAGGAAGATCATACACTTGCTCCACTAATATTGTCGGATATCTACCGGGCACTAACACAGTGTAAGTCGGGGGCGACATTCTTCGAAGGTTGCAATATCCTTTTACAAATGTGGCTAATCGAACACCTTCGCCATCATCCAAAATTTATGAACTACGGCCCAAGCAAAAGCAACTTCATTGAAAGCTATGAAGAAAGAGTGAAGGATTACAACTCTCCGGAAGGGGTTGAAGCTTGGATTGTCCACTTGAGAACTTTAAAGGCAAATCAAATTGAGTGGACTTTAGGATGGCTCTCGGTGAGGGAAGTCATATACATGTCAGCCATAAAGAATTATTTGCTATTGATGGGCTTGAGGAGTGTTCAACCCTATGCGCTGCAAAGGGTTCTGAGGCAATAGGGAAGATATCAAGTGGTGCCTGAGGATGAAGACCTGAGTGTCCAAGTTATTGAACTACACCTCGAAGCCCCACTTCCCGAGGTTTTAGTCCAACAAATCTGGGATGGTTGCTGATACTTGTAAGAGGATACCTAAGAGCCCGATCTTGCAAAAGGTGAAGTAGATCCAGGCTATGCCACATGGTTTGAGAGAAGGAGTTGCATTAATTATGAGCTAGAGCCCGAGCTTGAAAGGCCCACCAAAAGGCCTCATATTCAAGATTTTGATGATAAAGTCCAAGAACGGTTGGCCTGGGGAGAAAAGGAAAGAAATATCAAGCCACTATCCATGCCTTAGAGGAAAAGTTGAGGATCCTCGCATTTAACAATGACTTACAGGCGCAGGTGGTCGCAGGTGAAAAGAGAAAATTGACCCGGAGAACGAGGTGCTCCGAGCCCAACTCCGGGACATGAGGATATCCACCAAAACGCCTGTGAGGAGTGACAAAGATAGAAAACTCATCAACAACCTAAGAATGAAGGTACATGACTATGCAGCTGACTTGATAATGGCCGGAAAAGATTTGCTAAGCGCTCAAACAAAGTTGGCCAAATTAGCCCACCAGTTGAAGCAGAAATTTGACAAAGAAGTAACAGTTCTAAAGAAAAAGTTGTTTGCCGTTGAAAAGGAAATGGTCCAGCAAACAAAATATTTTAAGACAGAAAAAGAGCATTGCTACGCATTAATTTGCCAACTAAAAGAAAGCGTGCAACAGTTACAGGACCAAAACAACACGGACGCACAAGTGTTGGAAGCCCGGTGACAGCAAATTGGGCGTCTGTTTCAAGAAAAAGGAATAATAAGAACAAGGATCACGGAGATAGCTGACTATGTCGTGATGAAATATCACGAATATGAAGACATGACTAGGTCTATGATTTTTTGCTACCATGATGACCTTCGTTCGCCAGGTGATGGATGACCTAGACCGTCTCCAAGAAGATATTGCACAAAGGCCCGTGCAAAGCCCGGCTAATGTCTCACAAGCTCCCAGAGTACCAGTAGAGGCTCTTACGTATTTTCAAGTTTCAGTTTTTGAGTTTGTACTTTATTTTCTTTCAAATGTTGTTCAAAGCTGTGTTGTTGTTTGTTTCGAGTCTGTATGTTTTCTTTAATAGTCGTCAGTCCTTTTACGTCCATGTAATAGAAAATCCAAAAAGATTTTGTTTAATGAAAATTTGAAAACCCCAAAATTTTTCTTTTCTTTTATTTTGCATTTATTTCCTGAACTACGTAATGATCTGATTCATGTAGCGTCATGATACATAGGCAATCCCAATCGGATTCGATCATAGCTATAGACAACTCGAGTAAAGAAATAAACCAAAAGGAGAGAGAAAGAAAAAGAAAAATTGAATAAAAAGAAGGAGAAGAGTGAAGAAATAAAAGAGCAAAAAAAAAAAGAAAGGAAAAGATTCAGGATTTGAAAGTAGATAGAAGAAATAGCAAGGCCGGTGTAAGGCCCCGAAAAATTTCGCAAAGTAATTTAGGATTTCGTGTTGCCAGGTAGGCTAATTAAAATATTTTACGTGCTATTAACATCAATTGGATTTAGTAAATAAGTGTATAAGTTTTATAATAAGTATTTTGAGGTCCAAGGAAAGGCCAAAGTCTAAGTCAAATTGGAAAATTTCATAATGGGCTAAAATTCCAAATGAGTTCGCACAAGTACACACTTTGGACGAGCATATCTAATTATATATAATGTTTTATGTGGTGAAAAACCTATCAAATGAAAGGTCTTCGAGTCTAGTTTCTAACACTTCAAACCGTTCATCATTTGGACATTCCTACGCAAAAGTTATGATCAAATTACCAAAGGATGGATTTGCGACCAATTTTGCGATCGCAAAACGACTATGCGGACCGCATATGCGTCACAAAATGAAGCAGTGTCGGGGAAAATATTATGGTCGCATGTTGATTATGCTGTCTATTATGCTATCACATAATGATTATGCTACAAGAATGCTGCCCACATTTGGATTATGTTATAGCACAATTGCACCACATAATTGACTTCGGTGGTCATTTTTGGAAATTTTCATATACGAACCCACTTTGATAAATATGATTTGGGGCTTCATTTGGGACTATTTTTACACTAAATCTAGAGAGGGGTGAGAGCATTTTAGAGAGAGAAAGAGGGAACCTAGCCTCCTAATCATCAATCTTGCACAAACCCTCAAGAATCAAGCATGCTAATCTCTAGCTCACTATCTTCCGAATTATTACCGCTAGAGATGTTGGTGCATTGTAGTAACTTAAGGAAAGCTTAAATAAGGTATGCATGGATAAATCCCCCTCTTCTTAGAAATTGAGCTCCCATGGTGTCCATGCAAATATTGTAAGTCCGAAATTTGATTGATGTAGTACTTGTTATTTCAATGAAATTGGTGCTGCAAGAATATGTATGAAAGGTGTATCTCAATGTGTTCAATATGCTATTCTTGGTAATTTGAGGATATGTGAAGAATGTGAACTATGTGCTAAAATGCCTAGATCTCAAGTCAAGTTTAAATTGAGATTGTTATGCCAATCTATGTGAAATCCTCTATGTATAAAGATGTTTGAAATAAATCAAATGAATTTGGGAAATAGAGTGCGGCCAACATGCCGAGAACTTGAGTTAAAATTGTGCCTGGTGATGCCTATGACATGAGAAAATATGAAACAGATTATGAAATGAGCCTTGACTCTACTTTTCATAAATGACTTCAACAATAAAGTGTCCTAAAGGCTTTGTACACAATTTATGCCCATAAGTGGCGGTTGGAGATAATGTTTTGCCTTATAAGTACATCCAATGTGATCCGAGTTGTTACATGCTCCGATGTTGAAATTGTATATTGTCGTGATTGGAAAAGAGTAATTCAAGAATAATTGGTGTAATTTCTTGTTTATGACTTTCATGTGTGTTTCTATTGTGGTTTGGTGTGCCCCCTCCTTTTTGGAAGAATCCTTTGTGTTTAAAGTTCCGTTGCTAATGAAGTTGAGGTGTATGTGTGACGACCTGCCGGTCGTCTTAAGAATTAACGCCCCAATCCCCCATTAAATGCTTCCCCTAAGTTCATTTCTGCTATTTTGGTTTGCCGGGATGTTCGGTGTTGAGTTTCGGAGAGTTTTGGGACACTTAGTCCCTAAATGAGAGCTAAAGTGTTGAAAAGTGGTCCGTAGTCGGAACAGTGTGAAGACGATCTCGGAATGGAAATCCGATTGTTCCGTTAGGTCCGTTAGGTGATTTCGGGGTTGGGAGCGTGTTCGAAATGTATTTTGGAAGTCTGTAGCTCATTTAGGCTTGAAATGCCGAAGTTTGAATTTTTGAAGTTTCCGGTCCGATAGTGAGTTTTTGATCTGAGGGTCGGATTGGAATTCCGGAAGTTACAGTAGTTCCGTCATGTCATTTGGGATGTGTGTTCAAAATTTCAGGTCATTCGGACGAGGTTCGGTTAGGTTTTTGATCGAAAGCGTGTTTTGTTGGAATTTGAAGTTCTTAGGCTAGAATCCTCGATTAATTCTGGTTTCCGGCGTTGTTTTAGGTGTTTTTAAGATTGGTACAAGTTCAAATAAGGTATTAGGTTGTATTGGTGCTTTTGGTTGAGGTCCCGGGGGCCTCGGGATGAATTCGGATGGTTGATGGAAGGATTTTTGAAGTTTGGAAGTACCAGTCCTTGCTACTTTTGGTATTTCCGCATCTGCGGCCTGGGAACCGCAGATGCGATTCCGCAGATGCGACATTGAAGACCGCAGAAGCGGTTTTGGCCAAGTTTTTTTGTTTTCGCAGATGCGGTGGTTGGCCCGCAGAAGCGGACCGCATCTGCGAGGAAAATAACCGCAGAAGCAGAAGCTGGGATTTTAAAGGAAGCCGCAGAAGCGGCCAGAGTTCCGCATAAGCGGGACCGCAGAAGCGGAAACACCTATTCAGAAAAGGGAATTTCGAGGGTTGAGTTTCAAAAGTTGGAAAAAATAAATTGAGAGCTCGGGAGAGGGCGATTTTGAGTGGGTTTTGAAGAGAAGATCATTGGGTAACGTTTCTTTAATCCCTTCTAGTTATATTTCATCATTTTGTAGTTAAATCCATCATTAAAATTCGAAATTGAGACCAAAATTTGGAAGAATTTGGTTAAAACTTCTTAGACCAAACTATTGGGTTTTGAGTGAGCATTTGACCTCCGATTTGGGCGATTTTTATATGGTTAGACTCGTGAGAGTACGAGGGTTCTGAAAACGTGAAAATTATTCGATTTTGTGGCATTGGCCTGAAGAGCATTTTGGTCATTTCACCTAATTTCACGCCATAGCTTTGAATTAAATAGCAAAACCAGTTGTTTGCGATGTTATTTACAATGTGTAATTGAATTGAATAGATTTGGGCCATTTGGAGTCGGATACTCGCGGCAAGAGTGTGGTTTCTAGTTGACATTGAGCTGGTTCGAGGTAAGTGGCTTGTCTAACCTTGTGTGGGGGACCTTCCCCCTTAGGATTGTTACTTGATAATTGAGTGCCTTGTACGTGAGGTGACGAGCGCGTACTTGAGCCGATTGATGAAAATTCGGTTTTTACTTAAGTTATTGAGATTTAGCTTTCTTTCTTGCTTGGCTTATTCTGCTTGAAATTATAACTTGTGTTAGCTTAGGAAAAAGCATGTTTAGCTGACTTTACTGTCTAATTGCTTAAGTTGTTTTGACTGTACTACGTGAAGCATGATTAGACTAGGATTTCTATTATTTGTTTTGAGTTTAGCATTTACCTTGATGTTCTGGGTTGTTGTTGTGCATTTAAATGTGGACTACGGGACGGCATCCCGGGAGATCCCCCTGTACTTGTTATGTTCTGAATTGAGGTGCGGGATACCAAGAGATCCCCGGCACATGTAAATGTAAGACTTGAGGATACCAAGAGATCCTCGAGATACCAAGAGATCCCTAGTGAATATGATAGAATATGATAAGGATACCAAG